AATGCATGAATTTGTACATGAATGAATTTTTTTGTTTTTTTACTTATTTTCTTTGATTTTCATAAAAAATTGCAATTAATATCCAATGTTCCATTTTTTTAGAAAATAAAATAAATCATAAAGAAATAAACAATTTTCCAATGAAAATTTCAAACATTTTTTAACAAATAGAAAAATAGAAAGAAAATTTTTAAATTTTTAAGTCAAGGCTTCTAGATTATGTTTAAAAAAATAAAAATTAAAAAATTCATACAATTTAGGAACTTATTCTTAAATATTATTAACTTTAGTCAATGAAAGCTGTTCATAATATTTATGCTCAAACTTTTTTCTGTGTATAAATGAGAATGTAAGAAATGAATTATGTTGGATAAATACAGTTTGTAAGTATGGAATAAAATATCAATAATTTTTTTCGAAATTATTTTTTTTTAATTTTTTAAAAAAAAATCTAACAAAACAATTACTAAAAATCGGGTAAAAAACAAAAAAAGTGGTAAAAAATGGGTTAAGAAAGTCCTAAATTTTATATTATTGATTTTTTTTTTAATTTGGTTGTTAGGTTCCCAAAACAGGAGGAAGCACCCAAAAAACAATTCTCATTTTCAAATATTTTTCCAGCACTACTGGAGAAGGATGCTCAATAAAAACCACTTTATCTGAAAATTTCGACGTATAGGAAAAAAATAAAAATTGATAATTAACCACCGGACATAGCCCTTTCCCAAAATATATGTTTCATTCCATGAGCAAACAAAAAATATTAATTTGTAAACTTGTGTTATTAAAGTACTTCCTTTTATCTTTTATATCCAACATTAATTATTTAATTTGTTTTTTTTTATCGCTGAAAGTGGAAAAAATATCTGTATTCGAAATTACATTTTATGAAAAAAGCAACTTTAGTGGCTTGTTATTAAAGAGTAATTTAATGTTGATAAAAAAAATACATTTTCTATAGCTCCGAAGTATGGCCTACAATACTGCATTGAAAAATTTGTTAAAATGCGACATAAAAAAATAGTTTTGGCCAAAGAAAGTGGTCGTCTGAATCATAGTGCAGTGTACAAAACTTGATAATGTTGTGCATTTTTTTTTTAATTTTTATTAAAACCTTACAATTATATACATATTTTGTTTGGAATATGACAATTATAAGGAGGCCGTTATTTATGATTTTTCACCATTGGATGTGGCCTTTCAAATGATAACCCATATATATTGTATCAAAAATATATATGGGCAATTTCGTGTCAAGTAACCCAACCAAGGTTAGTACTATTGTAAAGTAGCCAAACAGAAATTTTCAGCTCTATCGGTCAAGAACTGCCGGACTTAGAGGGGGTCGTGGCGAAACTCTGCCATGATGTGAACCTACATACATATACCACTAAAAAATTTCATTGAAACTAAAATCGTGTTATTGTTACCCCACGAAATTGCCCATATACTAAAATTTAAAAAAAAAATTAGAAAATACCTTTTTTAAAATTTGTCCAGCTTACGAATGGTTATCGCTAGACTCTAAAACAGAGCAAATTAAATTTTAAGAGGGGTAACAACACGATTTTTCCATGTAATTTATTAGAGATATACATATGTATGTAGGTTTACATTATGGCAGAGCTATGTCATGGTTCACATAAAACTTGTTTGTGTAGAATTGTATCGCTATACCTATAGGTTGTTGTGCTTTTTTTATAGAGACTGCTGACAAATGTGGACCGATTTTCACAATATTTAAGAGAGTTATAGAAAAATAATTTGTGTAAAATTTGGTAATTAAAAATTTGAAACATTATGCTTTTTATTTTGAGGAGCAAAATTTTTGATTAATCGATGCAGAAAATCGATTTCAGTATAAAATTGGTAGTGTAGAATCGATCGCAAAATAATCGATTTTTTACAGCAATAATCGATTAATGGTCATAATCGAAGTCGATTTACCATTCCCTAGTACTAACCAGTCAAACTATCAGTTTTTTTTACGTCCCTTAGTAAGAAAACGAAACCAAGAACTAAGCAATACGTAAGCAGCACACGCAAAACTGTTTTTACTGTTCAGTCGTTGTGTTCAGTTCGGCTGAGTTGAAAAACTTAACATGGCCGCTGCTTGTGTGTGTGGCTGCTGAAGAAAAACAAAACCACTTGCAAGTTATTGCAGCAATGTGTTGACACAGTTGACTGACTTCAGTTAGCTTTTAAAGGGAAATTTTAACTAGTTACTATTTTTTAAGCATGGTACTAAATTTAGTCAAATATTTAGTAATTTGCGACTGCAATTAGCAGTTTTTTGAAACCCTGAAAAATATGACCATTGTAGAAGATAAAAAATTGTTTGTTGGCCACAAAAGTATATATATTATAGGTCTTTATTTAATTCTAAGACGATCTAACTACACTATCGGACAAAATAAAGTGCAAAAGTACTCATGTATATTCTTTCAGCGAAAAATCGGTTAAATGATTATTGAATATGGAATTTTTTTCAATATCATTTAGTTTATATACAATGCTACAAAAATAACAATAAAACTAAATTATTGTACTTACAATTTTTCTGTATAACATCTAAAATTAAAATAAATTCACTTTTTTGTCGGACAAAATAAAGTGTAAATTTTATATATCATTATTTAAATTTCTTGTATATCAAAATTTTTTATCTATTTTGGTTCTGATTTTAACATCTGTATCTACTTAAGCCATTTTGGTAATTTTGTTCTCCATTATTATTCGCAATCGCCTTCCCTTCCCCTTGCTATCCCCATATGATAATTTTCAAAAGAAATACGTTTTAGATCACTATTTCATCGGAATTTTTTGATAAATTGTGGTCCAAAATTAATCTATTGGATTTAGGGCGGTGCTCTGAGCAGGACATTCCAATTTTTCCGTGATTTTTCCTACAGAAATGTTATTTTTTTAACTTTATCAAGTGCTTAAGCTTATTATCTTGCCGAAATATAAAGTTGCCCAAGTCCATTTCGAAGGCACTGATCTTAAGATTTGACTGTAATATGCTTATATAGTGTTCATTGGAGCTTTTTGAATAAATTTCACCTAGGTTCCTCACACCTAACGTTAAAAATTGGACACATACGAAGAGTCAACTGACCCATACCTTCAATCTTTCACCAACATATTTAAAAGCTTAAAAATTTTTTCGATTTTAGTATTTAATTTCGTAATTTTTAGCTCAAATTTACGTAGTTGGTCAGATGAGTCCCAATTTCTACCGAAAATTTTGAAATGTCGACAATGAGTGTGAGTTAAGCCCTTCAATATACAAAATTTTAAAAACAATACCCCAGGTTTTAAACATTATGGTGGAGGGCTATCGGTATTGTTACATTATTCAACTTTAAGAGCGAGAATCTTAGTGAAAATGGAGTAAGCAATAACAAATGAGCAATTCACGAGCGTATTTAATAAAAATTTTGAAATAAATGCCGTAAAAATGGGTTTGGGAGACTTAATGCCTCAACCGATTCATGACTTCAAACATACGACTAAGGTCAAAAACATTATTGTAAGAAAAAAAAAACACTGAAAAATTTGAATGACCTGCTCAGAGCATCGCCCTAAATCTAATAGATTAATATTTGACCACAATTGATCACAAAATTCCGCTGAAATAGCGAACAAAAACGGATTTCTTTTGAAAATAATAGTATGGGGGAAAGCAAGGGAAAGTGAAAGCGATTGCGAATAATAATGGTAAAAAAATTACAAAAATGGCTTGAGTAGATCCAGATATTCAAATCAGAACCAAAATAGATAAAAAATTTTGATATACAAGAAATTTAAATAATGATATATAAAATTTACACTTTATTTTGTCCGACAAAAAGTGAATTTATTTTAATTCTAGATGTTATACAGAAAAATTTTGAGCACAATAATTTAGTTTTATTGTTATTTTTGTAACATTGTATATAAACTAAATGATTTTGAAAAAAAATTCCATTTTCAATAATCATTTAACCGATTTTTCGATGAAATAATGTAGCATGAGCACTTTTGCACTTTATTTTGTCCGATAGTCTATGTCCGTCCATCTGTCTGTCCGTCCGTCCGTCCGTCCGTCTGTCCATTGAAAGAACGATAGGACCCCTTCAGAAAATGACTTTGACGCTCATTATTGGCGATTCGACACAAATAAGATTCATCCAAGCCGAAATGTCTCTATAAAATTTTATGAGGATCGCTCCATAATTTACCCTAGCCCCCATATAAAGTCCCTTTCAAAAAAATATTTTAACGCTAATCATATACATATAAAACCACTATGAGAAAATTACGAGTTGTGTAAAAAGTTTTTTATTATAATTATTTATTCCGAATTTTATGAGGATTGATCAAAACTGACCCTAGCCAATAAAACAAATTCTATGTATGAATATTGATTTATAATTGTCCCCCATATAAGGTAGCCTTCAGATTATTACTTTTATGCTTATGACCTAATTAAAAGTACGAGAACAGCAATGAAATTCAAAACGAATAGATGTTATACTACCAGAAATCTATCTACCAAATTGTACAACAATCGGTCCATAATTGACTCTACATGGGTTCATGCTTTAAAAATTGGTCAAAAATATTTTGTTTTTAAAAACTAACATGTATTTTGTTAATTCGAAAGAGCACGCCCATTATTGACTTAAGCCCTATTACAAATATTACCCTGATGTTTACAGAGGAGCATTCCTTTTACGGCATTCCTTTTGGTGGGTATAGGCATTGCCCGAAAAAAGTGTATGGTCCAAATTTGATCAAAATATTTTGAAAATTGCGGCCTTACGCACAAGTCCTGTCCAGCCAGTCGGGCAGACATACTAGGTGGGAGTAGGACCAATATTTCTGTGCTTTACAAACATCAGCGCAAACTCATAATACCCTCCCCACTATAGTAATGTAGGTTATAAATATGTTTTATTCCTATTCTAACCTGTATATTTAACTCCTAAAAGCTGTAATATGATATTTAGAAATAATTATATTTAAAATACTTATATAAATGTATTTATTCGCTTAACATTAATTAACAATAACAGTCACGATCAGTCTATTTGCAAATGTAACAATTTAACATTGTTTACAAACGTAAACGACGGAAAATTGATGATGGAAGGTAAGAGGCACTTGGGCTCGATACAGTAGATTCAGATGTGGGAGGAACGTATGAAGAAGATGGAGTGGAAGCAGCACCATGGGAATTAACAGGTGTTTTAGAGGCAAAGTTCAAAACAGGAGCCACACCACCATCATGAGAATTAGAATGGCCTCCCAATGAATCGTATTGACCTTGAATAGCTCTTTGAGCATTGGCAGCATCTTCGGGAGTACGGTATTTGACAAAGTGTACTTCGGGTTTGTTGCTATTCTTGTTAATGTTGTTCAATTTGTCAGCCAAGTTACCGAGATCAGCTTGTTTGTTCAACACATAGATGGCGGTCTTTTGTTCACCAGCTTGTTTGGCCAAAGCAAGGGCAGCATCTTCGAGTCCCTTGTTTTCAGGGCCCTTGATGAAAACGACACGAAGGCCTTGTTTCACAGAGTTGCCTAATTGATTGGAAGCTGCGGGATCATTGAAATCATCTTCGTTGACACTGTATGTGAAAAATTCCTTGTCGAGTTCAGCTTGAGGAGCATAAGCAGCATCGTTATGAGAAGCTTGACCGAAATCTCCTTGAGGACCAGCATAACTAGGTGCTGCTTGTGATCCAGCAGCATAATCAGCACCACTTTGTGGTGCGGCATAACTTGGTACGCTATCTGAGCCATGACCCACTGGCTGATAATTGTAACCGGATTGGTTGGCACAGGCTAGAGCCATTGAACAAAGTACTATTAATAAGCGCATCTTCTTTGGTTTTATTGTATGTAATTGCTTTTTGAAATTCGATAACAGAATGACTCCTAATTAGTTATAATTTTGCTTTTATACAAAACATTTGATACACTTTTAAACTGCTAATTAGTCGAAAAGAAACAAATCAAATAATTAAAAATTCATATGAAATCTTTTTATTTTTTATATTTACTATATTTTATTTTAAAACAAATTGTTTATTATAAAATGTATAAAAGAGAAGTGGTTTTTTAAATATTCATTTATTAATTACAATATTAAAGTGTATTTATGTATAATGGACTAGGTTTTTATTTTTCCTAAAATATTTTGGGTCTTTTAACGACCATTTGAGAACTAGGTTAGTTAAAAATAACGTTATTAGCATTACATCTGATGTTTTTTTAATTCTATTAAATTTTTATATACTACACAGAAAAAATTAATTTTAAAAAATTTTCAATTAAACGATTAATCGAAATTTTTAAAAGGGTTCAATTCATTTTGTATTTGAATCATAAAAATGTATAATCAAATACGTATTTAACAACAACAAAAATATAAAAAAATAAAAATTTTTTATACGAAATCAATTATAAGTAGTAATTGAATATACAATTTTTGTTATAGGTTGAACTTCAATAAATAAAATAATTGAAAACGAGGTTTTGGTAATTGAAATCGTTTTTCAGTTTTTTCTGTGTACATTAAAAGTATTTTTTTCAAAAAAATTAATTGTTATTGGCTAGAAACATCAAATTAAGTTTGTAGAGCCTGGATTAAGTGAGAAAACATAAAAAAGGATTTTTTGATACTTTTTCGTTCTACAAAAGGAACTTTTTGAATTTTTTATAATATTGAACCTAGTAACATGAAATTTAGCATGTAGAGCCTGGAATTAGGTGAGAACATGTAAAAGGGGACTTTTTGGTACTTTTTATACCCACCATCAAAAAAGATGAAAATGAGCAATATCGGTCCACGATTCGGCACAAACATGTTTTATGGGAACCTAAATTCCTTTGTTTAATTTTATAGGAATAGGCCCATAATTGACCTTACCCCCCAAATAAAGTCCCCTTCAGAAAACGACTTTATCGCCCATAACTGGCTAAGAGAAGCATCAATAGCGGTGAACTTCGGCACAAACATGTTTTATAGGAACATAAATCTCTTCGTAGAATTTTATAAGGATCGATCCATAATTGACCCTACTGCCATATAAGGTCCCCTTCAGAAAATGACTTGAATGCTCATATCTGACCTTAAAAAACATATATATATAAACTAAACTAAAATAATTTTCTTAAATTTTATGAGGGTAGGTCCATAATTGACCACAACAACAACCCAAAATTTTGTGAAGATAGGCCCATAATTGACACTACTGCCCATATGAAGTCCCCTTCAGAAAATGGCTTTATCGCCCATAACTGGCTAAGACCCATCAATGGATGGGTCCATAATTGACTCTACCCCCATATAGGTTCCCCTTCAGAAAATTACTTTAAGTCTTCTTACTGACTCAAAAATGTGAATACAGCAGTAAAATTCTACATAAACAAGTTTTGTGCTCTTTATCAAATTTTATAAGGATCGATCCTTAATTAACCTTAGCCCCCTTGTAAGGTCCCCTTCAGAAAATGACTTTTAAAGCTCATTACTAGCTTAAAACTGGGAGTACAGCGATGAAATTAGACATAAACAATTCTCGTAATTGCTAAAATCTCCCACTAAATTTTATGGGGATCATCAGTTTTATACTAGCCGAAAACTCTTTATCAAATTTTATGGGGATCGTCTATAACTGACCCCACCCTCCATGTAAGATCCCCCTCAAATAGTGACTGTAACGCTCGTTACTGTCTGTAACGCTCAAATACGACTACTCAAAATGCGACATAAACTATATTTGTATGAACAAAAATCATTCTAAATTTTAGAAGTATCGATCCATAATTGGGCGTATAAGGGCGCCTTTAACGCTCATTACTGCATAAAAATACGAGTAGATATATGAAATTCAACATAAACAAATTTTATGGGAACTGAAATCTTCCTACCGACATTGATGGAGATGGATCGATAAATGACCACAGCGACATTAGATACAAACAATTATTGTATAAACCGACGAGGATAGATCCATAATTGACTTTACCCTCCATATAACCACAAAGTTTATGGTTATAAATATTGGATCAAACAAAATTAATATTTTTAATTCGGAAGAGCACGGTCCATGCTTAAGCCCTCTTCCAAATAGTTCCCTGATGTTCATTAATATTGACATATGGTTCAACATAGATCAAAGTTTATTAATAAGGATAATTTGATGGTGGGTATATAAGATTCGGCATGGCCGAATATAACACTCTTACTTGTTTGAAATACGGATGGAATTTCATCTTACTTTTTCATTAGACTTTACGTAAAGTGTGATCGTGTGAAGGCCCCGTAAGAAAATATATTTTGGTATTAGTTTTCTCAATTTTTAGTATACATAGTACCTCTTGAAATGCTTTGAATAGTTTAAATCATACTTTAAAGGAGAAAATGATTAGAAATCGGAAATTTTAAGTATTAATATTTTTATAGCTTTATGTAATTACAAATTTTAAAATTTAATTTTTTTCCATTCAATCCAAACCTGGGCGATTTCCATTAATTTTGCATTAACATTAAATTAAAAAAAAATTAATTTAATGTAAAAAATATTACATTAACATTAAATTTGTAAAATTTAATGCATTAAATTTCCATTAACATTAAATATTTTTTAATTTAATGCATTAATTTTACATTAACATTAAATATTTTTGAAATTAATGCATTAATTTTGCATTAACATTAAATATATCTGAATTTAGTGCATTAATTTTACATTAACATTAAATAAGCAATAAAATTAATGCATTAATATTCCATTAACATTAATATATAAAAAAATTGATAAACATAAATAAAAATACAGCACAAAAGACCTCGATCTAACTAAATACAACTAAAATTAAATAGGTTAAAGTCCTTTCTAATAACTCCTATATTCCATTCAAACTTGTGTGTTTTAAATATGATATTTATATAAGATTCCACAGACAAAATAAACTGAAAAAGGAATATCTGGGAAGTCATACTATTTTTCTAATATGTATTATCGAGTATAGGACTTATTAGAAAGGACTTTAACACATTCAATTTTACTTGAATTTAGTTAGACCGAATTCTTATTTTTATAAATTAATGTTAATGGAAAATTAATGCATTAATTTTATTATTTATTATTTAATGTTAATGGAAAATTAATGCATTAAATTCAAAAATATTTAATGTTAATGCAAAATTAATGCATTAATTTCACAAATATTTAATGTTAATGTAAAATTAATGCATTAAATTTAAAAATATTTAATGTTAATGCAAATTTAATGCATTAAATGTACCCATGTTAATGTTAATGCAATAAACTTGCATTAAGATTAATTTTTTTTAATGTAGAAAAAATTGTTAATGCATTAACATATTTAATGCATTTATCCCAGGTCTGATTCAATCCTAAAGAATTTTTAAAAGGGAGAAAATGTGTGTTTTTGGTTAATTTTGTGAAAGTTGTCCCGAATTATATATTTTGAATGTATATTTTAATTTCGACATATTAATTTCAGGGGTAAAAACCAAAGTCAATGTTAATTTGCATACATTGATCTATAGATTTAATATTATAAATCACTTAAAATCTCGGGCAACGCCGGCAACAACAAGCTAGTCAAAAATAATTTTGCGTTAGAATATACAAAAATCAGTTTTCAAGCACAAAAGTACCGATTTCCCCAGTTTTTCGCCCTCTTACCAATTTTTGATACCCCTTTTATTCCAACTTTCGCAACGCAACTTTGCTAATACATATCTAAATGGAAAATATTTTCGTATTAAAATAGACAAAAATAAGTTTTTATGCACAAAAGTACCAATTTTGCCCGTTTTTGTCGTTTTCACCCATTTTTTACCCCCTTCTAGTCCAATTTTCGAAAGTAATATAGTCTATTGACGCTTCCAGACATACATCTTTCTATGTTCCAAATTTGAAGAAAATCGGTTCATCCGTTTAGGCGCGATTGACGCACAAACAAATAAACAAACATATAAAGAAATTTTTAATATATATTAGGATATTAGGATTGAACCTAGAAACATGAAACAACGAATAAAAGTTTTTATTCGAATAATTGAATAAAATGTAAATAAAAAGATACGGGTAAAAAAGGGTTTCGTACATTAATACACTTATAAATAGGTAACTTAGTTGAATATCAACCTATTTTAAATTTCTCAACGGATTTAAAAGTGAAAACTGAGGCGTTTATAAAGATATATACGATGTTTAAGTAACCTGTTTTGCAGACGTTTTAACAAACTGTTTTATATAAGAAAATCGTGCTATTTGTTAATGTATTAGAAACAGGTCACTATCGAGCCTCTTGCTCGCCGATTTTCATGGAAGAAAAAGGCTTGTTGGTAAAGAAAGAAAAACATAGTGTCCACTGAATGTATCATCTTTTAATGTTCTGAAACTCAGTTTCCTGGCCGTAATTCCTAAGAATTTCCGAATCAGTGTTCGTGAGAAATGTTCCGCTTGACCATGCATGTAGTTTGATGTTACATTTTTGTTCAAAGAAGTCAACCATTATTGATGCATAAGCTAGAATTAGTCTAATTACACTTTTATAACACCAATGTGTCATTGTAGGACTAAGACCCCATTTCATGCCTATAGTTCTTCTACATATCGCCCAGCACCGATGTGCCTTTTTGATCCTATTCTCTATGTGGGATCTCGATTTTAATTTTCGTCTATCACTCTGTCTATCACCGGCATCTTCTTGCACAGAAAACAGCCAGACAGAAAATTTTCAGAGTAGTCGGAATTGTGACCAATGTTGTGTGCTTTACTTTGTGTTACTTATAATGTGATTTACTTGTATATAAAATCTGGATATGAACACAGAAAAATATTCAATACTTTTTTTCAATAAAAATTTTAATCAGTATTAAATTTT